TGGATCCTAGGAACATGATACAGGGCTGCCTGAACCCTGTTTGACCTCCAAAACCCCCGCACCTAAAAACAGCCCACGACATGTTTGTGAATACCACTGACAGAGGTATTCTAAGCACTTCTATGTGCTAAGCATTCTAAGGTTTATACCACATTCTAAGTGGTATTCTAAGATACTTTTAAGCACCATGGGTGTGAGGGTAGACGGCAGACTGGGTAAACGTAAGAACACTATAGACAACCTGAGAAACACGAGCCTTGGAACAAGGGGGCCAAGGTAATAGGATTGATCCACAAGGCATCCACCGAGGCAGAACAAATGGTACGAAGGTAGAAGCGGAGAGCCGCCACTGAACACAGCAGATGATGCACCTCCGGCCAAACCAACCAAGCATCAATAACCAAGGGACCCTTTCTGGAAGCCAACCGACTCATTTATCTCCAGGAAAGAAAGAAAGAACCATCAGCAAATGAATAAACCTCCCACTTGGGCCAAAGAACAAAACTCCCATGTCTGGAGGAGAGCATGAAGCTCTCCCCAACACCCTAAAGCCAGAGAACCAAAAACAAGGATTGGTTTTGGTTCTCATAGATGCAACATAAGAACACAGTTCTAATGTTGCATATGGAGAATCATAGATGTAACATACAAACACAGTTCAGAACCCAGCAGGTTCAGACAGCACATGAGCATGCTGGAGATGAAACAATGTGCGAGACAGATTGAGAAATGGAGTGGAGGCAGTATTCACCATGAGATGTCGATCAAGAAAAGCCAAGTAGAAAGGAGAGTACTACCTAAAGAACAGTGATGAAGAGAAAGAAGGTGGCTAAAGGAGCACCACAAAACCTCATACAATTGCTGAGAAGAATGCTGGGACACCTTCAAAAAAATCACCTGCTTGCCATAGAGATGGGGATAAATATGCATAAAAATATATCAGACATGAAGTATGAAGAGGGCAAACTAGTGAAGTATGTTATGAGGCCGACCCTGCGAAAGATGCAGAGCCACGGAAAATCACTCTGGTTCGGACACCAAGCAAGCAGTGCCTGAAACTAAGGCTGAACCGGCCATCAAGGAGCTGGATGGATCACCCTTCCCTGGCAGGAGGAGTCCAACCTGGCCAGGACCTGGAGCAACAGCCGGACTGGGGAGAAGAGGTACAGGCATTCCCGCCACGACCAGCCCAGCCGTTAGGCATCTCCACCGTAAGGACTCAATTGAGGAATGGAGCCGCATATAAAGGGAAGACATCAAAATCACATCCAGGTGTCGCAAAACTACAGGAAATAGTGGGCATCGACAGTCCACACCTCTGGAGATGGGAAGGAACCGGGAAAGACCATCTACGAGGATGTTGGACAACCCCTAAACACAAATGGTGAAGAGAGCCAAACTCCAAAAACCCTGCTTGATGGGGTTCTGGGAGCTCTTCTACTCCCAGAACGCCTGGCCCGAGGCCAGGCTTGACTTGTGAGAGCTTGGTCCAACAGGCTGTTGCTTGGAGCGGCCCGCAGGCCCACTTATCTGCCACAGCCCAGTTGGTCTGACACTTCTTGAAGAAAATTATCTAGTTTTCTCTTGAAGATGTCCATGGTTGTTCCAGCAATATTTCTTATATTCGCTGGGAGGATGTTGAACAACCGTGGACCTCTGATGTTTATCAGTGTCCTCTGATTGTGCCTATGCCACTCCTACTTTTCACTGGCTCTATTCTGCATTTTCCTCCATATCGTTCACTCCAGTATGTTGTTATTTTTTACTGTGTAGATTTGGGACCTGGCCCTCCAGTATTTTCCATGTGTATATTATTTGATACCTCTCTTGTCTCCTTTCTAGTGAGTACATTTGGAGAAGCTTTGAGATGGTCCCAATAATTTAGGTGCTTTATCGTGTCTATGTATGCCGTGTATGTTCTCTGTATCCCCCTCTATTTCAACAATCTCTTCTGCTCTAAAGGGGGAAGATAGTACTGAGAGGTACTCAAAATGGGACAGTACAAGTGATTTGAATAGTACAGTACAACCATTGTGATGGGATCCCTGGATTTGAACGTTCTCATAATCCATCCTATCATTTTCTGGCTGACACAATAAGAGAAGCTCAGCAGAAGAGCTATATGAAGCATCCAGCTCCAAAGAGGCTGGGACTGAAACATACCTTCTCGGTTAAGACATTGAACCACAGTGGAACAGTCTGAATGGACCTGGAGCCCAGAGGAATCGGAACCCTCCACAGCGCATGCCGCATGGCTGCAAATCCCATAGGGCAGAGCAGGGTGTCACAGAACTGAACCCTGAAAAGCTTTCTTTTCAGGAAGCTAGCAATCCAGCAACCGACAAAAAAAGGCCAACAGGGCCTGTGCCCAACAACTGCAGTGGCGTAAAAAATAAAAAAAGGCTGCCCCAGGAGCACCACATCAGCTGCAGCACCACATCTTGCTCATATGGGAAACCAAGAAGGCAAGGCATAGGCTCATGTACAACAGTACAAGCAACTTTCGAGACACCTGGGGCTGACTCAACATCAGCCTGCAGCATAGTAGCAGGACATGGCTGCTGGGGCAAGGGAAAGCAAAACTGACCAAGAGTCCATCACCAGGCGCAGCCAAGACCAAATCTGGGACGGAATCAACTGGGACTGGTTCCAGCTTCCAGAGAAAGCAAATCTGGTGAGCCAGGACAAAACCAGGTATTCCTTGCTAGCAGACAGGTGGACCAGCAGGGAGCCCACACCAGCCAGTTGTTGAGGTAGGCCAAAACCCAAACTCCCAATGAACAAAGAAGAGTTACAATGACCTCAGCCAAGCATTAGAATGTGCATGGAGGCAGATAGAGCCTAAACAGGAGAACCTGAAAGTGGGAAACATGCCACTCTTAGACAAACCAAGCCAATCTCCGAATTCTAGGGAAAAGTCATGCCCTGGAGGTATGGGGACACCTTCCATGCAACCACCTCAAGGACAAGACGCCCAGGACAGAATGGACATTCTGAATGAGGGGCAAGGAAAGAACAGGGCAGCCACGAAAGGAAGAGGAAGAACGGAGGATTGGAAAGTCCCATAACGGGACCAGGAGAAGGTATGAAAATCACCGAAGCAACATAGCCGATTCGACCTCGCCAGAAGCCACTCAAACTGAGATGACTAGATGGGTGCAAGGAAAAGAAGCCCAATAGGTAGGACGTGAACCTCCAGAATGGGGAGGGACTGACCAACTAAACTGTGAGACATGGGAAACTACCTGAAAAGCCCACACACCGGGGGACCAAGAGTCAGCAAATCAACTGAGGCACCCCCCCCCTTTTTTCCCAATGTCTTGACAAAAGGGGCAAACTATGAAAGGGCCGACGTGACCCGCAAGTAGTCAATACCAACCAAACAGAGCGAGCACAACGCTGATTCGACGGATTCAGAATGGCCGAGGGAAGTGCTTGCAACTCGGTTTCTTGGGAAAAAGAAAAGAAGCAGGGTGAACCACACCCATAGGGGAAAGGAAGAGAAGATATAGCAAGAGCCAAGGTAGAAGTTACCAAGTACGTTCAATTCGGGTCCCTAACTACCACTGGGGGCAGTTCTGGGGTATTTAACTGGGTACACAACTCAGACCACTGCAACCTAGAAAACCAAAATGAATGGCAGTCACTGCTGGTAAGCCTGAACCTGATTAGGAGGGCCACAAGAAAGAATCATGTGTGGAGTGCAAACTTCCACAGGACTCAGGGTCAAAGGTTTCTCCGAACCAATAGGCAGCATGTCATAGACAGAGGGACTAAACATTATCACATGGCACAGACGACATTGAATCCTCAAACTTGCACGAAGGGAGAGTAGGTACGTGAGATCCATGGGAACACCGAACCTGCGGGAGATTAACAGAGTCTGAAGTAGGGAGGTACCCAACAGGATACTCAGGCACTGTGACGTTTTGCTGGTTATTTACTTTTGATATACACTAAGTGAACAAGCCAACACAGCCTGGTGCATCCGGCTGTGAAGGCCCACCTCAGCTTGCTGTAGTGCATCACGTGAGTGGCCAGTGCACCTCGCCAGGCAATTGTTGCACTTGATAAGTAAGAACAGGAAAGTCCAAAGACTCCTGGCTCACCTCGGGTGAGGGCCACTACAAGCAAGGAGGACCTCTAAGTGAGCGACTCCCAAACACTCCAGGGTAGATAACCCTAGCAATGCAAAGGCTTCCTGAGGGGACAAAAACCTTAGGGAGCACACAGGAAAGATAACCCAGATAACACACATGCAGCTCCAAGCCTTTTTAAATCCTGGCTCACATTACACTACAGGTACAAGAAATACCACCACTTAGCTAAATCAGCAGAACACTGGAGCCAGAGTGGAAGAGAGGCAACTTAACACCCACTACATCATCATAGAACTAAGAGTTGAGATGCTGGCTGACCGTGAGCTGCTGCCTTCCTTCCCCCTTAAACAAGTGGGGGAGGCAGGGTGAATGAGTGTGTGCTAGTTTCAATAGATTTCAAGATTTCAATTGTTTGTTTGCATAATTTTGGGGAGTTCTTTTGGTGGTTCTCAAGGCTGCAGTCCCTATTGAAGCCAGCAGTGGTTTGTTTTTACTCACTTTCTGGTTGCCTTCTCTGGTGATGACATAAATATTTAAGTGTTACCACTTCCTACACCACCGTGAGGGGTCAGGTTCAATCGCTGGTCTCCAGTAGGCCTGTAGAACTCCGCAGTTGATGCGACTCACTAAATGGTACCTATCAGTATATGATAGCTTCATGGAGCCACAAGGAGCTTTACCCAGGAAACTAAAAATATGCAGCGAGAGAAAAGGTGAAAAATAAAAAAATAGTTGCTATAGTTGTGTATTCTGTTAAATAGTTGAAGAATCTTGTTCCTAGAAAGTTCTGTAGTTACTCCTTCCTTTCAATCAGTGCAATGTTAGCTGGTTTATTTTATTACTTCTTATGTAATTCGACCCAAATAAATCTCATTGTAATGAAGTTTACTTTTATTTCAGGCCACATGAAGTGTTTGGTCGTGAAGGACTTGGTCACAAACAAGAAGTTGGTGTAACTCCCCGGTTTCGAAACCGAATCTTAGGCATTATACGTGACTTCTGCCAAGGATCTGGAATTGAAGAGCTTGCATTTTCACCAGATTTTTCAAAAGAACAACGAGCAGAAATACATAAGTAATTTTTCATTTTTTTTAATACACACCATGTTAAATGCTGGGGTGCATTCTTGTAAATGTGAGCATTGCCAAAATCAGCATATTAAGGGGTCATTGTAGCATATTCCTCATAGAGATGTATTCCTGACATTGTAGTTATTTACCTAATCCAACATATTAAAAATTCATTGGGATGCTGAATCAATAATGCAGGTGATAAACATGATTTTATAAATACTGCTGCATCTATGCTATAATGTGTACTCTCCCAAAATGTTCTACAGTTCATTTTCTGCTGGCTTTTTCTAGCATCTTGCATGGAATTCCTGTTAATGACACTGATCTATAGTTTAGTGCTTCACATCTGTCTTCATTCTTGAATATTGGAGCTATATTTGCCCTTTTCTAGGTTTCCAATAGCTCTTCTGTTTCACTGTGGTTAGTTAGGTACAGGGAGTCACCAAGGGGCTCCTCCCAGACACCAGTGTTGAATTTAACTAAATGCCTCTTTCTGGTAGAGGTCTGTAGTTCCCTGTCTCCCTCCTGCTCTCCCTGAAGGGACCTGATAGCTGAGTGGACCGCACTTCAGATTTCTTAGTCCTGAGGTTCTGGGTTCGATGCCCGGTGGAGGCAGAAAAAAATGGGCAGTGTTTCTTTCACCCTGATACCCTGTTACCTAGCAGTAAATAGGCACCTGGGAGACAGCTGCTACAGACTGCTTCCTTCGGGTGTAACAAAAAGAAGGCCTGGTCAAGGACCGGGCCGCGGGGATGCTAAGCCCCGAAATCATCTCAAGATAATCTCAAGATAACCTCCTCTGTTGGTTTATTGGTTATTGTCCATAAACTTCAGATTGACTTTGGCACCAGCTGTTGGCTGGGGGCCTCCAGGTCTTGTAATGGCAGCCATCAGTGCTGCCTAATTGTTGAAAGAACTAATTGTTGTAGCTGAATTGTTTATGTCTTCAAAAGATACAATTTGTTTATGATACAGAGATACACTTATGTCTTCAAAAGATACAATTTGTTTGTCAGAAAGTTTTGTCTGGGACAAAGAACCAATTAAGCTTATCAAGGTCTCTCCAGGCTAACAACTGATGTTATTCAGAATACATCCAGTAACAGTTGCCTAACTCCCAGGTACCAATTTACTCTATTTACTACTAGGTGAACACAGGCATCAGGTGTACAGAAATGTGCCCAGATTTCTCACCCTGCGAACTGCACTTAACAAATGCACTATAGGCATCAATGGATTTGTAGATACAGCTGGAAAATATAGACTACTGTGTGCAAGAATAATCACAATAACTTGTGATTTGGTTGTGTGTACGTATCTATGTAGGAGAAATATATCAGAAATAATCTGAACACTGGTCATTTAACACACTTTCAAGGAGCACAGTAGGTAGTCCTTGGAAATGTGCTAAATCATGACAGCTCTCAGAATACTGCAATTTCCTTTCATTTCTATCATGTGAATACTTGTACACACTAACCCCCTCCCCATCCGGCCCGTTGGCGTCGTGAGGGGGCTTCGTGGACGGCTGCCGGAGTGTGATGCTCCGTGGAGCAGTCCTCTGTCCTTTTCTGGCCTTGCACTCCTGCTGCTGTCTTCTCTAATTGTGCCAGGTCGCTTTTCCTTTTCATTATGTTTCGTTTTTCTCCCCCCTCTTCTCCTATCTGTTTGTCGTTTCCTGCCGACCTTTTGCTTGTTTTGGATTGTTTCTTTGGACTTCTTGTATTTTGATGCCCGGGTGCTTGAGGAGGCATACTCTTGCACCCATAGAACTGTAGTACCCAACGTCTCGAGCGAGGGGAACCTTTTATTGTCAATCCCCCTTTCGTCGCTGAACCCGATCTCGACGGACTGACGGTTCTTAAGGTGGCGTTTGTGGGGCGTATACTCACGACGCACCCCTAGGGGGCCCCGGCATGATCGGCGATAGCTTCCTGTTGGGTGTCCTGCCTCTAATTGTGGCTCCATGGTGGGTATGGGGGCACATTCGTGGATGAATTTATCACTCTTCGTACCTATGTCGTTGAATGCTTTTGTTGTACCCTCTCAGGCTCGTGGGGTGGGCGACCAAGCCCCCGAGTCGGCCTGTCTTGGAAGATCGGGCTCTGTAGCCTCCGCTGCATTGGGCCCCGACCTTGCTCCTCCTTTGGCCTCTCTGACTCCTTCCCCTGGCTCCCCTCCCTCCTCTGTGGTTGGGTCTAGCCCCAAGCCCCCAGTGGTGACTACCTCGTCCCCTGGCGCGGCTCCATCTCTAGTTGTAACTACTGCGCCTTTTAACCCTCTCTCTCTGGGGGTTCTCACCGCCGTCCTCGTCACGGCCGCCCTCGCTCGATTCCTTCCAGTTCTGCTACCTATCAAGCCTTGTTTGGTCCTGCTTCGTGGGCCAAATATTTTGATCTCCTCCCTCTTGATTCTGCGCCTCCTGACGATTTCTCCCTCCATCGACATCTCATTGATTCCGTGGATGCCTCCATTACTTTCAACCCCACTCGTATCGGTACACGTGTCGTTGCTGCTCCTTCTCAGGATGCTGCTTCCCGCTTGGCTGCCTTATCCTGCCTTGGCGAGACCCCTGTTCGGGTCTCGAAGAACGCTCAGTTGAATGCCAGTGTTGGAACTATTCTGCTCCCGCCCCATGTTGCGACCAGTGTTCGGGACCTGCGCGACTGCCACGATGATATTCGACATGTCCTTGCTGCCCAGGGCCATTCTATTCTCCAGGTGGACACGTTTACTCGTCCCCCTCGTGGTAGTCGCCGTCAACCCCTCCAGGTTGTGAAGATTACCTTTGATGGTAGGACCCTTCCAACCTCTGTCATTCTTGCTGGTGCCAGGTGCTCTGTCCAGGAGTACATTCCTTCTCCTCGGCTCTGTAACAAGTGCTGGAGGTTTGGGCATGGTGCCCTCCGCTGCTCCGGGACTCTGTCTCTCTGTCCTTTGTGTGGTGGCGAAGGTCACTCTAAGTCGGAGTGCACTTCTCCCCAGGCTCGTTGCCTCAACTGCGGTGAGGCCCATCCTACCGTCTCCCGTGTGTGTGTCCATTACAAGCTTGAGGCAGCCGTCCTCAACTTGAAGCACCGGGAGCGTTTATCTTTTCCTGAGGCGAGACGCCAGGTTCGCCGGCTCCCACCTTGTGCTAATCTCTCTTATGCTCGCGTGTTGCGCTCTTCCTCTCCTCGTCCTTCCCACCTTCCTCAGACTCACAACCGTTTCCGGGCCTTGGACCCTGATATGCCCACTGCCCCCTCCTCTGTTCCTTTGGGTTCTCTCCCGAAGGATCCACCTCCTGGTCCTCTGTCTGGGGTTCCCCTTCTTTCTACCCGGTCTGTCTTGTCTCCTGTGTCTTCTTCCTCGTCTCCCTCCGTTCCTCCTTCCCATCCTTCCCCTCCGTCTCTTGACTCTCCCCGCCGCCTGTCGGTGTGGGCTGATGTCCATTGCTCTCCAAACGGCCGTCATGTGTGCTCTCATTCAGCTTCTGTTGAGACGCTAGAATCCGTTGCCCAGTACGTGGTTGCTGGGACACCTGTCTCTTTAAGTCAGAAGCGTAAGCCTGGCTCCTCTCCTTCCTCCTCCCCGGCGGGTAAGAAGGTTTCGCTTTCTTCCTCGGCCCCTACTTCTGCACCTCTCGCTCCTTTCCCTTCCATTTCGGTGGTTGCGCCCCCTGTTCCTGCTATGGAGGTTTCTTTAGCCCCCGCTTCCCTCTCGGTTGCTGCCCTTGCTGAGGTGCGCTTCCCTCTTTCTACCCCCCTCTCTTCCTGCTGCTGTCCTTGACTGCTTCCCTCCGTTGTCTCCTCTTCCTCCTCCGGACCCCACCCGCCCACCTCTGGTCTGTTCTCCCGCCTCCTTCCCTCCATCTTTGCTCAGTTTACCCATGCCCCCTAACCCTGACTTTGCTGACCCTGATCCCGACCCTGATATTCTTTAATTAACGTGCTCTGTTGCTCTTTCGCCTTTGTTTCTTCCTTGTTCTCTGTTTTTGTCCTTTCTCTTCTCGTCGATGTCTCTTCTTCAATGGAATGTTTGAGGTTATTACGCCAATTTCCTCGAACTCCAACTTCTGATTTCGCGGTTTTCGCCCCTTTGTGTCTGTCTCCAGGAGCCGATGCTTGGTGCTCGTCCTGGTCGTTTTCGTGGCTATTCCTTTCTCCCCCCCCCCAGCCGTTGCTGGGGCTTCTAATTCTTCTGCTCTCTTGATTCGTGCTGATGTTCCCTTTGTTCCTTTACTTTTTCCTTCGCCTCTCCATTGTTCTGCTGCTCGTGTCTTTGTGGGGAAATGGTACACAGTTTGTTCCATTTATCTCCCCCCGAGTGTCCCGCTTTCTCTTCCTGATTTGAAATACCACCTAGACTCCTTGCCGGAGCCTGTGCTCCTGCTGGGTGACTTCAATTGTCGTCATTCTCTTTGGGGTGACGTTCTGACGAATACCCGGGGTCGCCTTCTTGAGCCGTTTCTTCTCTCTTCTTCCCTGTCTCTTCTGAATTCTGGTGAGCCCACTCATTTGGACTCTCGGACTCGCACCCTTTCTTGTCTTGATCTATCTCTCTGCTCTTCTTCTCTTTACTTAGATTTCACGTGGCAGGTTCTTGATGACCTCCATGGAAGTGATCATTTCCCCATTCTTGTTTCCTTTTTCTCTTTTCGCCCTTCCCTCTCTTTCCCTAGGTGGCAGTTTCCTAAGGCGGACTGGACCCTATTTACCCTCAGTGCTGCTCTCTCTGACCTCTCCCTTCTGCCTCTCTCTCGCGCTCTCCTCCTTTTTCATGACACTGTCTTCAATGCTGCCCTCCGCTCTATTCCTCGCTCTTCCTCTCGGGGTCCACGGAAGTGCGTTCCCTGGTGGAATGCGGACTGTGCTCGGGCTGTCTGCTGTAAGCGTGCAGCCTGGAAGAGGCACCGCCGTACGCAGACGACCGATTCTTTTCTTTTCTTTCGGAAAGCGAGTGCGGTGGCCCGTAGGGCCCCCATCCGTACGGCTAAACGTGAATGTTGGGCATCTTATGTCTCAACAATTACGTCCGAAACTCCTCTGCCCCAGATCTGGAAGCGTATCCGCAAGATAGCGGGTAAGTTCGTTCCCGATGTTTCACCGGTCCTTCACCTCCATGATACTCTTGTGGTGGACCCATTGCAGGTCGCTTCCATACTGGGTTCCCACTTTTCTTCTGTTAGCTCTGGTCTTCATCTTCCCCAATCTTTCCTTCTTCGTAAACCTGTCCTTGAGTCTCGTCCTTTAGATTTCTGCACTCGTCTTCAGCTTCCCTATAATGATCCCTTCTCTCTGAACTTCGTTCTGCCCTGGCCCTCTGCGGTTCTACGGCGGCGGGCCCCGATGGTATTCATTATGAGATGCTTCACCATCTCCCTCCGTGCACGTCTCCGTATTTACTGAGTCTGTATAATTGGATCTGGGAGTCGTCGTCAATCCCTGAGGACTGGCTCGATGCCGTTGTCCTCCCTGTTTGCAAACCGGGGTCTCTGGGTACTTCCCCTAAGGACTTTCGCCCTATTGCCCTCACACGTTGTGTCTGCAAACTCTTTGAACGTATGGTTAACGTTCGTCTGATGTGGTTCCTGGAACACCATCACCTCCTCTCCCCTTCTCAGTTTAGTTTCCGCATGTGCCGCAGCACGACAGATGTCTTGGTGAACTTGGAGGTCTATATTCGTACTGCTTTTGCTGCGAAGACCTCCGTTGTTGCCGTCCTTTTTGACCTGGAAAAGGCTTACGACACTACTTGGTGGTATCATATTCTATCTCAACTTCATTCTTTTGGCCTTCGTGGTCATCTCCCTCTCTTTCTCCGCAGCTTCCTCTCTCGTTGTTCCTTTCGGGTGCGCCTTGGTACCGCTCTCTCTGCCTCTTTTCAGCAATACGAAGGTGTGCCCCAGGGTAGTGTTCTGAGCACTACTCTTTTTCTGGTTGCCCTCAATGGTCTTCTTTCCTCTCTTCCTTCAGGTGTCTTCTCCGCTATGTCGATGATCTTACCCTTTGCTGTCAGGGTGATGGTTTGCTTCAACTTGCGATTGATGCCGTGTCATCTTGGGCCACCGATCATGGCTTCAAGTTCTCTACTTCTAAGACTTGTGCCATGACTTTTACGCGGAAACGGGTCGTTCTTCGTCCCTCTTTGTCACTTTATGGTCATCCCCTCGAGTACAAAGATTCCGCAAAGCTTTTGGGGTTATTCCTTGACACTCGTTTGTCTTGGTCTCCCCATATCTCTTACCTCCGTGTTGAGTGCTCTAAGGCCCTTACCCTCCTTCGGGTCTTGTCCCATACTTCTTGGGGGGGCAGATAGGCGCACTCTCCTTGCTTTACATTCCTCTCTTGTCCTGTCTAAGCTCGATTATGGTTGCCCTGGTTACTCGTCTGCTTCTCCTTCTACTCTTCGCCGTCTTGATGCTTTGCACCATACTGGGTTGCGCCTCAGTTCTGGTGCCTTTCGTTCGACTCCCATCCTTAGCTTGTATGTTGACACTGGCTTCTGTCTCTCCAAGACCGCCGTGATCGCTACTGTCTTCGCTATCTTGCGCGGTCCTTACAACATCCTTCCTCTCGCCTCTGTCGTGCTTTAACTTTTACCCCTCCTGCGGTTCCTGTTCCTCTTCACCACCTCCCTCTTTCTGTCCGGTTGTCTCGCCTACAGGACTCTCTTTCCGTTCGTATTTCTAATGTTTCTCCTCGTGTTGTTCCTTCTTTGCCCCCGTGGAGAGTCCCTCTTCCGCGGTTTTGTACATCCTTGACCCGTATCACTAAAGCTTTTACCCCTCCTACGGTTCTAAAACGCCTTTTCCTTGAGCACTTTTCTTCTCACTCCCACTCCGTTTCTGTCTTCACCGATGGATCTAAGTCTGCGGACGGTGTTGGCTACTCTGTTGTTTTTCCTGATCGCACTTATATGTGTCACTTACCTCCGAAGACTAGCATCTTTACAGCGGAGCTTTATGCTATTCTCTATGCTCTTCTTCTCCTGCTTTCTCGTTGTCAGTCTTCCTTTGTAGTTGTTGTTGACTCTCGTAGTGCCCTCATGGCTCTCGGGTCCTTTAATCCGGTTCATCCAGTAGTTGTCGAGATCCAGCATTGGCTGTTTCTTGTTCACAGTAAATTTAAGTCTGTTGAGTTTTGTTGGGTTCCCAGCCATATTGGCGTGTCTTTAAATGAGCGTGCGGATGCTGCCGCCAAGGAAGCTGCCCGCTCTTGTCCCATCTCTCGTAAAGGTATTCCATATTCCGACTTTTACCCGGTTATCCATTCCTCCATCCTTACCCGTTGGCGGGCTTCTTGGTTGTCTGTTACTGGTAACAAACTACGTACTCTTAAATGTTGTGTTTCCTCGTGGCCGTCCTCCTTCCACTGTAACCGGCGGTGGGAAACAGCTCTGGCGAGGTTGCGTATTGGCCATACTCCCTTTACCCATGGCCACTTGATGGAGCGCCGCCCTGCTCCTTATTGTCCTAGTTACATTGTCCCTCTTACGGTCGTGCATGTCCTTCTTGAATGTCCTGACTTCCAGGACGAGCGTGTGTCTTGCTCTCCGACCGCTCCTCGCAGTCACCTGTCCCTCAATAGAATTCTTGGTGACTCGGATACTTTTGATATCGTTCGCCTTATGCGTTTTTGTTCTCGTATTGGCATCCTTGGTGATATTTAGCGCCCTCTGATTATTTTGCGCATTTGATGGTGCTACATAGCCTTCCCGGTTTGGTGCCTTCTTTTGATAATTACTTACTTGTACACACTACAGTATATGTAAAAAATTATTACTAGGTGGATCATTATTTAAATATGTAGGTAGATTGACAGATAAATTAAGTAAGCAGCTAAATATTTACATAGGTATGTACATGTCTATAAGAAGTCGAGTCTAGCTCAAGTATGAGTACTATAAAGAGTACAAGTTGAGTACTATAAAGAGTACAAGTCGAGTACTATAAAGAGTACAAGTCGAGTACTATAAAGAGTACAAGTCGAGTACTATAAAGAGTACAAGTCGAGTACTATAAAGAGTACATGTTGAGTACTATAAAGAGTACAAGTCGAGTACTATAAAGAGTATAAGTATGAGTACTATAAAGAGTACAAGTTCGAGTACTATAAAGAGTACAAGTACGAGTACTATAAAGAGTACAAGTACTATAAGAGTACGAGTACTATAAAGAGTACAAGTACTATAAGAGTACGAGTCGGGTACAAATACGAGTTCTATAAAGAGTACAAGTACGTGTACAATACAGAGTACAAGTCGAGTAAAAGTACGAGTACTATAAAAAGTACAAGTCGAGCCTGGCCTGAGGCTGGGCTCGGGATGCACACGTACTCCCGAGTTAAGTTACTCTCCAGTTAAGAAAAAGAGTTTCATTCCTGCAAATAAGTTGTTGTTCCTGTTGATTCATATATAGGTAGCTAAATAGGTAGGTCAGTAGTTAAATATATTGGTCTATAGAAAGAATGAAGCAATTACTGTACATACTGTTCCAAAAATTGTAAAAACCCTTGACTGTGTTTTAATTTTCAGAATTGCACGTCGCTTTAAGCTGAAGAGTGTAAGTCATGGTTATGAAGAACAGAGATATTTGGTCCTATCGCGCAAATTTTCAGCAAAGCAACTCATTCGAACACTTCTTGAGGAGGGACCAACAGACAAGTACAAGCTTATTCCTCCTCATTAAATGTGAACTAGAAAACCATGACTCATCACAGAAACATTATTTAGTTGAATTAGTGTTTTTCTTGAACATTTGTGCTCATTGATGTTAGAAATGTAATGTGATTTTTTTCACAGTTTTTAGTAAATAAGAGTAGTCAATAAGCATACTGTAATTTTATGGATTAATTACTGCACTGTGCACCTGGTTTCGGCAAAAACTTCATAGTGTAATTGTTAAGGACATTTTTGTTTTTATAAATGTTCAGGTACAGTTTGTCAAAATGTTTCCCAACTCAACCATTTTCATTTCAAAACACAAAGAGTGATGAAAACATTAAAAAACATTAAAATTTAGCCTAATTAAAAAAAAAAAAAGCACAACTCTCAGAGCACCTCAAGGTGCTCTGCGCAGCATGGTAGTTAAGAACTAATATACACCACTGTATTGTACAGAAATTACATGCATTGACTCCAGTAATTAATTACAATAATAAGTACAGACAAATTTTTAGGTGACCTTAATGGTAGTTAAGAGCTAATATACACCACTGTATTGTACAGAAATTACATGCATTGATTCCAGTAATTAAAATAATAAGTACAGACAAATTTTAGGTGACCTGTTTTTCTCTCACTGTGTGATGTGACTTTAAATATATGTAGCATACAGATATATATATTTAAATATATGTAGACTTAAAACCACGAAGGAGAAATTCAAGATGCATGTGTAAAGTTATTTCCCGCTCGTTTCATCTGCTGAATCTCTACCAGCATCCAGGTGACCCAGACAAGTACAACACTTGAGGAAGCAGCGAGGTCAACAAAAGTCACCTACTATACTGACTCTATAAATAAAAGATAACTTTCCCTTGTTGGGAAGCTTTTGTAGGTGCTGTAGTATAAAATACTTGTAATTTGCATATTATCTTTTGTTAATAGATATGGAAATAGGATCAATTGTGGTTCTTACTAGGAAATCTTTCCTGGTCTGATTTTTTAACAAAATCTAACATTTTTATGTTAGATTTTGCATTATAACATCAAAATTTTTAACAAAATTAAAAAAAAAAATTGAATGTAGTCCTTTTATGATTGAATTGTTCAATAATACAAAAAATGGGTTTGTGATGGTTGGTCGAGTACTTGATGAGCTAGTTACAAAATTCAATGCATATCGTCACATCAACAATGGGCTCAACACTGTACTTGTGGTCGATCTGGAGCCCATTGTTGATGTGATGAGGTGCATTGAATTTTTTAATAAGTTCATCTAGATTGTTACTTGCTTAGCTAAATGAATTATGGGGTTCAGTCCCTGAGCCCATTATGTGCCCCTGTAACCCTTCCACTACTGCCCACAGGATGGGTATGGGGTGCATAATAAATGAACTAAACTAACTGATGTTCAAGCAATAGACACACAAAATATATTTGTCATATTATCCTCAATGTAATAGCTGGAATACTTCTGTTAAACTTAATTTTCATCTTGGTGATTCAAACACACTATTTTGATAAAAGTTCAAATTAAAATTGTTGAATTATATGACTTGAAGTTTAACATTGTGAGATTAACCTTGTATATAAAACTTGGTAAGTGTAACAAGGGTAAATTTAATAATGTGTAACTTCCAGGGAGTAAGTCTGACAATGGGGACTTACATTGGTAAAAGTGCTACCTTGAGTAAAATAACAATGTAATAGAGTAACATTGTTTGAGCTTAACCTTGTATTGCCGGATGGGGGTCTGACGGAGCCCCACAAACACCAGGCTACAGCAGCCTTCCAACCTGGCATGGCACCCAGGGCCTAGCTGGTGCACCTGCACCTCAGTGTGAGAAAGGCACTGAAATACAACTTGATAATAGGTAATAGGCCGCATGCTACTTATCGGCACCTATGGCTCGTGGATATCATCCGTGTCACTGCTCCTTGGGCGTGTTCTGGGAGAGTGACCTTCTGCATCCATGATGCGTTCATTCCCAGGGCTGTGGATGTCCTGCAGTCAGTGACCTGTATGGGAGGCTGCTCAGTGGGTGGATGGATTCCCGCTCCCACATGCTGTGAGGGAGGGCATTAGGAATTAGGCCTTACTCGCAGGAGGTGGGGGGAAGCCCCACTCCGGGGAACTGTAAGTCCCAGCAACGGGTGTCGGTCGAGTATTCAGCTCACAATACCTCACGTGTAGTGTACGTCACACCCAAGGCAAGGCTCCTGTAAGAGTAAGCCATCAACAGTAAAGCAAACCATCGTGGCAGACTGCTCCCCAAAGTGGCTGGACACTAAACCTAGCTTACAGCTCAGGCACCAGCCAAAGCTAAAGGGCGGGATGGGAAGATGGGAAGGATGTGAAGCCTAAAGAAAAGTAAACGTGACACATAACATAGAAAGTATTAGATATTATGAACTGGGACCATAAATGGGAATACTGTGGATAAATACTGGGAATAACAGTAAATAGCTCCCGCCGGGGACAACCTAATACACAAGCAAGGTAACATAAAGTTAGGTAGCAAGGAGAAGTAAATTAAACATGGGATATATTAAGTGAATGAGTAAAGGAACAGGGAACAAAGAATAATATATATATATCCGATGAAAGTGAAGGAGCACAATAAAGGAAACAGGTGTTTGCTGTACCTCACTAGAGGGTACAGCACTCGCTGCTGTAACTGGCACTCACTGGCAACAAGCCTAATAATGTAAAGTCTGGTAATAACTTGTGAAGGATGTGATGGCTAAGTGACACAGGAATAACATTAAGGGTACATGAACAGGAAGTGGCAAATGAGTTGAAGAAAGATACTAGAGCAGAGAAATGCATTAATCTAGTATCATAAAATAGTGCGCCCACGGGAAGTGGCACGAATGCTATGCATGTCGGTGGTGTTACAAGAACATAAGAACACTAATGTTTTGTACTCACACAAACCCAATGTACCTTCTTGTATATAAAGAATTAAATAAAATAAATGACAGAGCATGCTGGAGCTAAGAGGGTTCCACGCGAGTGCCTTGAAAGACATCACACAACCAGAACAAGAGTGAACCCGTGCTTCTCCTTGAGGGGGCCCGCCTTCCTGGGGTGGTGTGCTGAAATCTTAGAGGAAAGAACCCTTATCACATGCGTGGACTAAGTACTTTGACCTCCATCCTTTGGATTCGGCTCCTCCTGACGATTTTTCCCTTCATAGGCATTTTGTAGATTCAGTAGATGCCTCTGTTACCTTTAACCCCACCCATCTTTGTACCCGTGTCATTGCTGCTGCTCCTCAGGATGCAGCCACCCGCTTGGCCGCCTTATCCTGCCTTGGCGAGACCCCTGTTTGGGTCTCAAAGAATGCTCGGTTGAATGCCAGTGTTGGCACTGTTCTCCTCCTGCACCATGTTGTGACCGGTGTCAGAGATCTACGAGACTGCCACGAGGATATCAAGCATATCCTCGAGGCCCAGGGTCATTCTGTCCTCCAGGTGGATACATTTACTCGTCCCCCTCGTGGTCATCACCATCTGCCCCTTCGGGTTGTGAGGGTTACCTTTGATAGTATGACCCTTCCGCCCTCTGTCATTCTTGCTGGTGCCAGGTGATCCGGTCAGGAGTATATTCCATCTTCTCGGCTCTGCAGTAAGTGCTGGAGGTTTGGGCATGGTGACCTCAAATGCTCTAGTCCTGTCTCTCTCTGTCCCATGTGTGGAGGCGAGGGTCACTCTAGGTTGGAGTGCACTTCTCTCCAGGCCTGCTGCCTCAATTGTGGTGAGGCCCACCCTACCTTCTCCCGCACGTGTATACGTTACAAACTTGAGGCGTCTGTCCTCAACTTGAAGCACCGGGACCGTTTGTCTTTTCCTGAGGCTCGGCGCCAAGTTCGTCGTCTCCCCTCTTTCACTGACGTCTCCTATGCTCGCGTGGTGCGCTCTTCCTCTCCTCACCCTTCCCACCTTCCTCAATCTTACAACTGTTTCCATGCCTTAGACCCAGACACGCCCACCACTACCTCCCCTGTTTCCCTCTGTTCTGCCCCGGAGGGTCCCCCCCTCTTGGTTCTCTGTCTAGGGCTCCCCTTCTTTCTACCCAGTCTGTCATGTCTCCTGTGTCTTCTTTCTCCTCTGTCTCTTGGCTCTCCACGCCGCCTGACTGTGTGGGCCGATGTCCATCGCTCTCCTGGTGGTCGGGTTGTTCGCTCTTGCTCTTCTCCTATCGAGACGCTGGAGTCTTGCCCAGTACATTGCTGCTGGGACGCCTGTCTCTTTGAGTCAGAAGCGGAAACCTGGCTCCTCTCCTTCCTCCTCCCCGGTAGGTAAGAAGGCTTCACTTTCTTCTTCGCCCCTATCTCTGATTCTATCGTTCCTTTCCCTCCCGCTTCGGTGGTGGAGTCCCCTGTTCCTACTGCGGGTTTGCGGGTGTTTCTTTGGCCCCCAGTTCCATCTCGGTTCCTGCCCTTGCTGGGGTGCCCTCCCGTCTTTCTGCCCCCCCTCCTCCTCCTCCTCTTCCATCTCCTCCTCCAGACCCTGCTCGTCCACCTCTGGTCTGTCCTCCCACTTCTTTCCCTCCTTCTTTACTCAGTTTACCCATGCCCCCTAACCCTGACTTCGCTGACCCTGATCTTGTCCCTGTGCTTCTTTAACGTGCTGTGTTCCCTTTTCACCTTTGTTTCTTTGTTGTTCTCTGTTGCTGTCTTTTCTCTTCTTGCCGATGTCTATTCTTCAATGGAACATCCGTGGATATTACGCCAATTTCCTTGACCTCCAACTTCTAATTTCACAGTTTTCGCCCCTTTGTGTCTGTCTCCAGGAGTTGATGCTTGATGATCGGCCTGGTTGCTTCCGTGGCTATTCTTTTCTCCCCCCCCAACTGTTGCTGGGGCCCATAATTCTTCTGCTCTCATGATTCGCTCTGATGTTCCCTTTGTCCCCTTACTTTTTTCCTCGCCTCTCCACTGTTCTACTGCCCGTGTGCGCCCACTCATTTGGACTCTCGGACTCGCTCCCTTTCCTGTCTCGATCTTTCTCTGTGCTCGTCATCCCTTTCCTTAGATTTCGGGTGGCAGGTCCTTGATGACCTTCATGGCAGTGACCATTTTCCTATCCTTGTTACTTTTTTCTCTTTTTGCCTTTCTCTCTCTTTCCCTAGGTGACGGTTTGCCGAGGCTGACTGGCACCTCTTTACTCTTCGTGGTACTATTTCTGACCTCTCTGTTTTGCCTCTCCCTCGCGCCCTCCTCCTTTTTCATGACACTGTCTTTGATGCTGCCCTCCACTCTATTCCTCGCTCTTCCTCTTGGGAATGCGAAAGTGCTTCCCCTGGTGGAATGTGGACTGTGCTCGGGCTGTCCGCTGTAAGCGTGCGGCCTGGAAGAGACTTCGCCGCTGGCAGATGGTCGAGTCTTTTGTTTCGGAAGGTGAGTGAGGTGGCCCGTAGGACCATCCGTGTGGCTAAACGTGCTTGCTGGATGTCTTATGTCTCCACCATTACATCCGAAACTCCTCTACCGCTGGTCTGGAAGCGTATCCGCAAAAATTGCGTGTAAGGTCATTCCCGATGTCTCACCGGTCCTTCCCCTCCATGGTGCTCTTGTGGTGGACCCGTTGCAGGTCGCAACCGAACTGGGTTCCCATTTATCATCCGTTAGTTCTGGTTCTCATCTTCCCCAATCCTTCCTTCTTCGTAAGCCTATTCTTGAATCTCGTCCTTTAAATTTCTGTACTTATCTTCGCCTTCCCTATAATGATCCCTTCTCTCTCTCTGAGCTTCACTCGGCCCTAGCCCTTTGCGGTTCTACGGCGGCGGGCTCCGATGGCATTCATTATGAAATGCATCGCCATCTCCCTCCGTGCACGTCTCAGTATTTACCGAGTCTGTACAATCGGGTCTGGAAGTCGTCGTCAGTCCCTGATGACTGGCTCGATGCTGTTGTCCTCCCTGTTCGGAAACTAGGGTCTCTCGGGTCATCCCCCAAGGACTTCTGCTATTGCCCTCACGAGTTGTGTCTGCAAGCTCTTTGAACGTATTGTTAACGTTCGTTTGATGTGGTTCTTAGAACACTATCACCACCTCTCCCCTTCTCAATTTGGTTTTCGCAAGTGCCGCAGCACAACAGATGTCCTGGTGAACTTGGAGGTCTATATTCGTACTGCTTTTGCTGCGAAGACCTCCATTGTTGCCGTCCTTTTTGACCTGGAAAAGGCTTACGACACTACCTGGCGGTGTCATATTTTGTCTCAACTTCATTCTTTTGGCCTTCGTGGGAATATCTCTCTCTTCCTCCAGAGTTTCCTCGCTTGTCGTTCCTTTCGTGTGCGGCTTGATACCACTCTCTCTGCCCCTTTTCGGCAGTATGAGGGTGTACTCCAAGGTAGTGTTCTGAGCACTACTCTTTTTCTAGTTGCCCTCAACGGTCTTCTTTCCTCTCTTCCTTCTGGCATCTTCAACGCTCTCTATGTTGACGATCTTACCCTTTGCTGTCAGGGTGATGATTTGTCTCTCCTTCAACGTCGGCTTCAACTTGTGATTGATGCCGTGTCGTCTTGGGCCACCGATCATGGCTTCAAGTTCTCTACGTCTAAGACTTGTGCTATGACTTTTACTCGGAAGCATGTAGTTCTTTGTCCCTCTTTGTCGCTTTATGGTCATCCGCTTGTGTACAGGGATTCTGCTAAGCTTTTGGGGTTAGTCTTTGACACTCGTTTGTCTTGGTCAGCCCATATCTCT